GTTTTGTTGTTCTCCTTCATTCGTGACATTATACTACTAATATGTTCTGTGATTGATGCTTGTAGTTTGTACTTCAAATAAAAGAGAAATGAAACAAATAATTGCTAAGCTCTTGTATGAATGTGAACCTTTATTTGTGATGATTTTAGGTAACTCATCCCTACTAAGAGAGATGATCTATTATTTAATGTGAACCTCTATCATTCTGACCACTTTTCCATTGGCGACTCATTTGTGGCTTGTCACACATGCTAGAGCAATCTGAAGCTTTGTATCATCTCCTCTAGGAAACCTTGGAACATCAACAGCTCCACATCGAAGACTTCAGCAATCCATTCCACCTGTATGATAGAACGGACTGATCTTGGAAGATCAACCACACCATCACGATCCAGGAGGAGACACTGAAGCTGTAAACACCTCTAGAGCATGATATCCAACTATATTCGACATGATTATAGGAACATTCATTAGAGAAGCCAAGCCAACATCGGAGACACGAGCCTCGAGTTCATTGCTGAGGAGGATGTTCGAGGCTTGATGTTTCCATGGATGCAGTTACCACAACTTTATATGTGATTCCATAACTTGAGCTTACCAAGAATCTGAGTTGAAGCCTTCAACAAGTCCTCGAGATCGAAGTTGTAAGGGCATCCTTCAAAGAAAAAAACTTGTTCTTTTCAGCTTCCGGTACTCCAATTCTAAAATGCAGAGCCTCTTCCTTCACAGATTTTTCTCTTCAGCATGCCATTGCTCCCACTATGTCTTCTTCAAACAGCGTATAAAGACAGCGACTAGCAGCAGAAACAGAAATGTTAATCCCTCACAGAAGAATTTTGGAGTAATAATTATCCCTTACTCTTGTTAGGCTTAATATACAAGTTGTCAATGAAGTATTTTGGATTAATAATTATCCCTAACATTTCCACTTTTCACCGTTAAATGACGACTTAACATACTCCACATTTTCAACTTGAGAAATTTAGAATGCAGACAAACTCTCGACAAACAAGATGAAAGCTCACATCAAAGATGGAATTCATGTTTCAAAATCGAGAAATTTGGAGACAACCCTAATTCTATTGATTAAGGGATGAAAGAAAACCAAGGGAGTTGTTTCAAATAATAAGTAGTTTAGTGGGTTAAAGAAATTGAGATTATATTACTCTTCCGTCTCAACATTTTTGTCTCGTGTTGGCCAAACACAAAGTTTAAAGAGATAAGCTTGACCGCACGTTAAACTAAATAAAATGAAAACTGATAATTATCTTTAAAAATTAATTGATAAATTTAACGGATTTACTTTGATAAATATAATAAATATGACATATACGGAAAAAAGATAAAATATAAAATATAAATATTATTGTTTATTGGCATTACTAGTAAGAAATTTTGAATGTTATAATTTTAAAAATTAAAAAGGATAAATTTAATGAGACGAAGGACATGGCTTCATAAAAACAAACAAAAAAGGAAATGATAAAAGTGCAATTCCATAAACAAAAAACTTGGTGTCAGTCTGAATACTGAAAAACAAACCAATAAACAGTATTCTGAACCTTACTAACATGAGGAATAAACACACTTAGTGAACTTAACAAAGAGTTCAACTTTAGCTTTAGGAGAGAACTTCAATCTTTTTGGATAGTCCAAAGTTCTAAGCTGACGCATTTAGAAAAGCTCTTCCAGGTTGACGATTAGCCAAAGGTCCATGACATCCAAGAAGCTGCATGTTATAAATCACAACTTCAGCTTTAGAAACTCCAATAATCATACCACGCAAATAGCAGTTCAATGTTTACTAAACACAATAGTACCACCAAAACAGAAAATATTCAGCCCCGTCGAGGGAAGGAAGAGCTACAAGTAGCTATATAATGTATTAAACACTGATCGCATAGAATAAATCATTGGTAAAAACAGTGTTTGAGAGAGAATATTACACCATATCTATAGTATTGTACTACCTTTGCATTCACACCATCTGGCACAATCCTGTTCTCAGACTTCCACCTCAGATAGTCAGCACGGTTGTACTTGGTGAATCCCCTGACAAAGACAATTGTAGCAAAAAAATATTAAAACATGTGTCCATAACATGGGTTAAATGATGTTGCAAATATATCCAGAATATATATTAAAAAGAAAGAAAAAAAAAGCAGAGAGCAAACATCGGATCTTCTGTATATGAAACAAAAATGCATACCACTTCCTGCTAACAATGATCTTTTGACGACCAGGAAACTTGAACTTTGCACGGCGGAGGGCCTCCTGGGCATGGTGGCTGTTGCTGTCCTTGCAACGAACTGAAAGCAGGACCTGCCCAATGTCGACTCTTGCACATGTTCCTTGAGGTTTCCCAAAGCACCCCTCATTCCAGTCTGAAGCCTATCAGCCCCAGCACATGAAAGCATCTTGTTGATTCGCAGAACATGGAAGGGATGAACCCTCACCCTCAAGTGGAAAGCATCCTTCCCAGAAAATTTGGCCATGTACTTGTTGCAGGCAATTCGAGCAGCCTCCAATGCCTCACTTGAGACATTCTCTTTCTCCCAACTAACAAGATGAACACAGAAAGGAAACTCATCAACACCTTTCTTCTTCATCCCAACATCATAAATTCTGATCTTCGGATCTGGGACACCACGGCAGTATCGAGACTTCGGATATGGTTTGTTCTTGATTTGGCGATAACACCTTGCAGGTCCTACAAGGAAGAAGCTCAGAAAAACCAGCAAAATAAGTTCGACAGTCAAAGTCGACATAATACAACAATCCTCTCATGGAATCCCTTGTATAAACATAAACAACTCGCATCTGTTTACAGAAGAAATTCCCAAAAACCTTAACATTAGCTAGGGTTTTCATTGCCAAAAAAAGTAGGCATGATAAATGTTTCACAAAGATATTTTAAAAGCATTTACAAGCAATTAACTCAGCCAGACATGAAAAACATGATAGAAATGTGTAACAGATAAATAAAAGAGCTCTTACAAGGTATTTCGCGTACAAAAAGGGTGCTGCAAATGTAAAGACTGATTATATGAAATGAAGTAAAAAAAAAACGAAAGGAACACAAACAGCATCCAAAGTTATTAAAATAATATAAATAAAGGTCAACAAGCATAAGGATAATTGACATTAAAGCAGCAAAGATCTGAAGAACAACAGTTATGGAAATTGACAAGAGAGGGAGGGAAGGAAAGATACAAACTTACTTCTCCCCATGTCGTCTGGTCTTGAGAATACGAGAACTGCGACGATTCGAATGAAGCCAAAGAAACCCTAGGCGTCTTTATTTATTCATTTCAACTTCAAGACATGAGCTTCAGGCTTAGCCCATTAACCGAGTAAATAGCCCAAACTCTAGATACGTTTTATTCTCGTGCCTATTATATTACGCTTAATATACAAAATGTCTATATATTTCTTTCTCGGGTAAGTGTACATAATTTTTTATATTATCATTGAAGTGTTTGATCTTAAATTTTTGTTATCTAACAAATGTTGTGTTTATATGTTTTTGAATATTTTATTTTATTTTATTTTATAAAATATTATTATTAAACATAAAAACTAACATCAAACCCACATATAAAAAATATCAACATTGATCAACGATTGAGAGACCACAGCATGAAAGCAATGCATTATGGTGGCCGGCATTGAATTTAACATTTTATGGCGATAATTAGTAATTAAGGTTTAGGATTAGACATTTTAGATTTTAAAAATTTATAGATTAACGGATGTTTTAAATTATTTTTCATATCGATATTTTTTTACCTAACATAAGATAAAGACGCATCATATTAAAAATGTATTTAAAAGTATGTCCTATAGGTTTCGGGTCAATCATGGGTTAGGACAGGAAGAACACCCGTTCAAGGCCACAAATTAAAAAAATAATTTTATTTTTTATAATAAATTAAAAAATTATAAAATAAAATAATGGGATTAATGAATTTATTAAAGTGTCAATTTTCATCAATAATTTTTATATTAACATTAATAAATTGTTCAACTTCCCGTCAAACTCTAATTCAATGCTTATTTCTCAAAATTAAAAGAAAATTTAGTTGAATCTATTTAATTTTTGTCTTTTCAATTTTTCACCATCAATTCACCAATTCTATTTCTCGATTTTCCATATCAATGGAAAATTTATTAACATTATTTTTTTTCTCTTCATAACTCAATGAGAGAAAAAATTGAAGTATAATTAGCATGTTTCTTTTTTGTTCCATGTATCACAATTTCTTTGAAAATTATTATTCTTACTTTTTAGTTTACCATATTTCTTACAAGCACAAAGTCACAATTGTTTTTTATCAATTGTGGTGTTTGAATCATATTGAAGATTGTTATTAAAATTCTAAGTATATCATGTTTTCAATTTTTTATTTTTATATATTTTCAAATTCTATATGAAATTGTTCTTTTATTTTCAAATGTTATATTATGTACTGAAAAAAATTGTTGAAAATCATTGATATTAACACTATTATTTAGTATCAAGAAATGCTCGAAGATAATATATATATGCTTTAATATATTTTGTCATTTTTGATATTGTAACGAATTACTATTTGTTTGATTTAATAAAAGTTTATATTACATATTTTTTTAAAAATTTCAAAATTATTTTTGCCTTGAGCCAAAAAAAGTTAAAACCGACCTTGTATAGATTAAATTTTCATTTATTTAGTAGTACAATTGTAGCAATTAGTAAAAATGGTCAAATGAAGAAAATGAAAAAAGTCAAAATGTGAAAAAAATTGTACAAAATTTATCTAAAATATGAGCGATACTTTTTAGAAACATGTTCGTACGAGTATGAATTGAGCGACGATGATGACGTATGTTCATGAGCAGTGAGTTGATTTTATCATTGAAAAAAGTTTTTTTTTTGGATAATTTAAAAAAAGTTTTGATTTTAATCCTGAAATGTCTTATTAAAATGAAAAAAAAAAGTTGAAAATTTAAAAGAAAAAACATCCCAAATATCACATGTTATTATGACCACAAATGAACAAAAGACCCCATCACCACTGATTTGCAAACACAATAATGCAGAGCAAATCGATAAATATGTTTTAACCCTAAAGATGATGGTAATTTTCCAATTTCATCATCCCATGTCCATAATTAAACACAACCAAAATACATGGCTTGTCATTGCAAGAAACCTTGGTAAAATAGCATCTAAAGTTATACAATCTCTTGACTTTCTTCTCATAAAACGCAAGCTTCCCAATGGTTCAATACCTGTGCTCCAGCTTCTCTTTTTCCTTGAAATTTTGGACATACCTGCACCCAATTATATAGACAAATGAAATATATGTAAAGCCGGCCAACGTGCTTAACCAAATGTGGATTCTGTGCATACGTATACTTTTGTGTTTCTCTCAGCAGGCTCAGGTGATTCATCTAAAAAAAACTCATGTTAATTGGACTTAAGGGTATATGTTGGATATGGATATATTTCTGATGCAGATATGCTCATTGTTCTTCTTCTGAATTTTATACAATCGTATCTATGTTTGAAACATGGATCGGACAACAATACTTTTAACAAAAACAAAAAATCACGTAAAATATCAAAATACTTCCAAGCCATGCTGCTAGTACTAATCAAATTGCATTGAAACAGTTACCATGCATGAGCAAGATCATCCATTCCTCTAAACAATAAGACATTATCATAGGCTAGAAGATCCCACGAAACAGAAATATTCATAATGAGAACCAGATACTTACTGCTCTCCTCAGAAAATAAGCTCTCTAACACCATCAGGGATGGACGAGTGAGGGGCAGAGGGGTGCAGTTGCACCCCTTCCTATACAATTTAAATATCTTCTTTGTATTTTCTATTGATGACCTAATTTTGCACCTCTGAAAATTTGTAATTTCGCACCACCTAAATTTCTAATATTAGTTCTTAAGTTCGCACCCTTAGTGTAAATTTTTAGGTCCGTTCCCGAACACCACATACTTTTTCAATAGAGATTCATGCTCAAATATAAACAATGATTTACAACAAATAGTAAGAAGGGTTTAGTTTTAATTTAAATATTACAAAACTGAAATAGGTTCCCCATTCTGGAAAAGATATTTTGGAATTAATATTGAACTTTAACTCAAGAAAAAAGATGGATAAATTACATTCATAATTTCCCCCCCTATAAATATCTCTTTAGCCAATGCCCCAAGAAATCGCGTAACATTTCACAAGTAAAATATACCGTCTATGGGTATATGATTGTGCACATGTATTGCTCTTTCTTGTTTTACACGTGTTCCTTCAAGAGGAAGACCTATAGCTAAATAGGTGAATTACTTAATATTTTATTGTCAACGGGAGTTGGCTAAGTTGCACAGATAAGGCGTGTTCCTAGGCTTAAAAAACAAGTGCAACTTAATCTGCGATTTTATACATACGATTAAACCCAGACAAAAGGTACTTACCCAGTGTCTATATCTTTCTTTATTTGAGTTTGAAATTGAACCGATTTATTTGTGTATGAACGCTTAAATAATCCATAAAAGAAAAAGAAGACAATCCATCAAATTAAATAGAAATTGAACATATAATTCAAAGATATGATGAGAAATCGAAAACCAAAAAGAAAAGGAGAGGGAAATTACGTGTAGGTGCCGACGAGAGGGGCGAGGAGAAGGGTAGCGCTGATCCAATTCTCGGAGACCTTGTGGGTAATCTTGGAAGGCAGATCCTTCCATAGCCCACTCATTATCTTCTGCTGGAACGGCGACAAGGCGTATACCACCGCCCTCATCTTCACCGGCTGCTTCCCCATTCTTTTTCTTTGTTTCTTCGATTGACGGCCGAACTATCTGAAAAATCCAAGTGTGAACCTATAGAGAGGGAAATAAAAGGCCGTCACAGTTGGCCCAATGATTCGGCCCAACAATCTTTGTTTTCTAGCTTAATGTGATGACATCTATATTCGTACGGTAAACAAAAACAAAAATCACCCACTAGAAACAAGAAAGTACTAGGGAGAATAGCTATATACATACATAAATAAATAAATAAATAAATAAATAAAAAGTTTAATTTTCACTTGACTCTAAAAGTTAAGAAGAATCTAGGGATTTATTATGTTTTAAATAAAATATAGAGGTATTGTTTTCTTAATATTACTTATTAAAAACTCTTCTTTTATTATGATACGTAATTTGATTATTTTTAAATTAACATTATTTGTTAGATAGGATAAAGACGATTTATATAGTAAACATCTTTTAAAATCACAATTTTTATAAAACATGTTTTTTACTGATGTAGTAGATGTCAGTCAAACGAAAAAAAATACCAGAAATATTATATAATTTTATTCAAAAAAAAACATGTGATGTATGTCAAAAACATCACATAATTATTTATAAAATGATGATATAGGTAGCATTTTATATAAAATTATGTGATTATATTTAATTTTTAATTTGATTTGATTGAATTTTGACATTAGGAACTTAATCATGTGTCATTTGATGCATATGTGAGATGTAAAGAATCAAAATTTTGTTTTTGTTTTTTTCATCTAGAAATGAAGGCAGAAGTAATTGAGTAAATGTGTGTTTTCATACCCAACAAGGTGTAATCAATGCTACAAAAACCAAACACAAATAAACAACAGAACCAGTCTGTAATCTATGTCACTACGTGAGCTAAATTATTGTCTGATGAGACACAATGGAAGAAAAAGAATACAAGGAAAGAAAAAGATGGCCATTAAGCCATCATCAACAATGTTTTCTATTCTTAAATTACTTTTGCACATCTAATCTATTTGTCTTCCATATGTGGAAAAATAAAATCCATGCTATTGCTGCTGCTGCTGCCTGAATTAAACATTGCATCAGCCATATCCGCCACTGCTGGAAACTCGACAACATCCCTTCCGTATCGGCTCCCCATGGAAGCTCCACCACCACCGGCTGCCGATGATGCACCTGCATCGCCACCACCTATCCCACCAGAACTCGAACCCGGACCCAGACTAAATTCCATTGAGAGCCATGTTCCCAAAGGAGCTACTGATGAAGAAGAAGTTGGTGGAGGTAGTGTAGGCTGAGAAACCATAACCATGGGGTCTTGAATCAGCGGGGTTGACGGCGGCGGCGCAATGGAGGGGGCGGTGGAGGACATGTGACACGTGTGCTGACCAATGTAGGTTACTTCAAATGTGTAAAAATCATTGTCTAGACGCTGGACTTGCTTCTTTGCCGGGCAGTTATACATCTTTTGGTGTGTGCACCTGTAGTATGCCCTGAAAACCAACCCTTCTTGTTTATCATCTTACCTACTTTTTCACTTCTTTTTTTTTTTAATTATTTTCATATCTGGTTACCGTCTTGAATTTTTTATATTATTTTTTTTATTAATATATATACGTATATTAATAATTTTTTTATTATTAATATATATATATTTACCCTCAAAAATATTTTTAAATCTATCACCTCCTCATGCATAATGCAAGATCATCATCACTCATTTAAAGGTATGAACTATGAAACATCCACCCACCATTTTATTATCTCTACATAGGTTAGCAAATAAAATGGTGAACCTTTTATCAAGATTCATATATAGACGCAGTCAACTATTTAATTTTATTTTCCCGGGAAAAGAAGTAAGCAGTCAAATCTTAAGAATTTTATATAAGAGGAGACCAGGTCCAATTTTAAACGACCTCTTTTACCTGATCATAGTTTTGAATCTTCAAGTAACTAGTATGTTTAAAAATGCATGCATATATATGCCATGATTTGAATTATAAATGCAAAAATAATGAAGTTTTGAATGAAATGATTGATTTACCTAGGGTACCTCGAACCCAGAATTTCTTTCTGTCCATATTTCCTCCAAGTGTAGTTGTCCTCCGGAGGAAAGTCGGTATTCCCCATCTGAGGAGCCGGCACTCTCATTCTGCATTTCTCTTGATCATGCTTCCTGCTGTTGTATTATAAGTAATGAACAAAAAAATCAATATGATACATACATGTATGTATGTATATATATATATAATCTGGGAAATTAAGTTTCGAACCTTCTATGTGAACGTTGAGACGAGGAAGATGAACCTTTACCCGAATCCGACACCTCCATGGCCTGGATTTCTGCCCCTATGCTAATGCTGGTTCTGCCAGATTGAATCATATCCATTGCCTGTCTAATGACGCCATAATTCAACAATTCGTGCAGACTGGTATCAGTCTGCTGCTGAGATGAACCCTGATGAGGATGAGCATTGTTCAACATTTCTTTGGCACTGGCAAACATGTTTATGATTTCATCGCATGACTTGGAAAGTGCTTCGGGCTGGTTGGCCAAATCCCCGAGCCTTGCTTCAAGCTCTTTAGCCGATCTGCAGCCACGGAGGATTAGAGACAAGGCCAGTTGTACGGGATCCATGGGGTCTTTTGCTTTGCTCTGGGATTGAAGTGGAACATAATTTAAGGGGAAGATTTAAGCTTGTGAAATGGGATTTAAATGTTGTGTGCTTTTTCTGGTGTGTTTCTAAGCTGCTGCCGATGAGTGCTAATTTTTCAAAGTATTTAACGTTCCTTCTACACGGTATATTAAAAAGGAAAAAAAAGAGTTTGAAAAACGACCGAGTCTAGCTCTGATTTGTATGGATAGGCATGCGATCCGAACTCGAAAGGTTACAACTCGATCCGATCGGGTTAGGTTTTTTTTAAAATATTTGGGGTCGGGTTAGGTTTTTTTATGCGATGTTCGGGTCGGGTCGGGTTCGAGATTAAGGTGAAAAATATATGACCCGATCCAACCCAAAAAAAAGTTACCTTATATATTTAAGAATAATTACAATAATATCCCTCTATAAATTATTTTTTTCAATTAATTCATTGTTTTTATTGAATAAAAATAATTTTTATTATTATTTCGATTCGGGTTGAATTTTTAAATTATATAACAGGTCGGGTAGAATCTTATATTGGTCGGGTCAGATCGGGTCGGGTGGATCAAAAATCCGACCCATGCCCATTCCTACAGTGTTTTGCCCCTTCGACCATCCTTGGCCCATTGGCAATGGCAGAGTCTTCATCTCCACCTTGCCTCATTGAAACCACCTTTAAGACCTAGAAGATCGACGAATTTTCTTTGGTTTGAAGCTTTGACCATTAATTGGGTCTTGAATTGGAAATTAGAGACATTTTCTTCTTCTGGATTCCATGGACATAAGACCGCACAATTTTGTTACTAATTTCCTCCCTTCACTTTTTTTTATACGACAGAATATTTTTAATAATCATTCTTTTTTATTAATGAATTTAAATTTTTTTAACACAACTTTTACTCTTATGAAAGTATCGGCATCATCTAATTTGTCCTTTATTGCACATCATCAATAAAATATTAAAAATATAAAAGAAAAGACACATATATTATCATTTTAATAAAGATAAATTATCTATTTTAAAAGGTGTAATGTTTAAATAAGCCTCTTAATATTTGTTCGAATGATTATTTTCATTTTTATTTTTTGTAAGGTATTTTAGGTCATAATATTTTAATATTTTTAATCTAAATGATCCATGTTGAATGAAAATTATTAATTCACTAACGGTCAATATATATTATTGATGTGACAATATCATATTTTTAAACTACTAATGTGTCGTATGTTATGTTATTCAAATGATGATGCAACACATATCACGTTATCGAATATAATAATGGAGTATGTGTCACATCATCAAATATAATAATATAATATATATCATATCATTTAATGTGAATATGTAGCACATGTCATATCACCAAATATATGAAACTAACCTTTCAAAGTTTTATATAAAAAAATTAGCCTTTCTTGAGTATCCCTTTTCACTTTAGTATCTAATATTTTATATAACATCCTCAATACCGGGTTAGTGACCAAATTGAAATATTTCAGAATTTATTGGTCAAAGTAAAATAGTTGAATAGTTCAATGATTTATTTGGGGATATTTCCTAAAAGTTTTTAGTGATTATCCAAAGAATTAAAGGGCAAACTGGTCATTTGACAAGAAATATATTTTTTCCCCTTGGGGGAAGAGTTATCTTCTTCTTTCTCTTCTTCATTTTCTTCTCCAACCGTGGAAGCTAGGCAAAGATATTGAGCCTAAACAAGTTTCGGAATAATCAAAGGATTTGGATTGAATCAAAGCAAGGCTAAGGTGAGTGCATATGCATATCATGATTATAGTAGTATATTCAGTTTTAGACTTGTGATAAGTCTAGATTTAATACTTTGATATATGATTCATTTCATATTATGAAACAATCTACGTGATTCCATACAAAGTGATATGAACTATGTGACATATGAATATGCAATACGTGATACATGTGATATGATATGAAACATATGGTTACTCATACATGTGGTATGTGACAGAAGAGAAAGAATAAATGATGTGAATATGTGAACTGTCATAAATGATAATGCCCATGTTATGTAATATGAGAGCTAGTGGTATAGTTGGCATGCCAAGAGTCGAGGGTTTACCTATGTTCTACGGAACATATGGACAGAATTACCTATGTCTTTCGGGACATATGGACAGTATACCTATATTCTAAGGAACATATAGACAATTTACCTAGGTTCTACGAGACCTATGGACAGTTGCTGAGGTTCTTTATGACCTTTGGATAGGTCCTTCGGGACATTTATACGAGCTGTGGTGACAACATAGTTGTGCACAACCTCAGTGTACTCACATACCTCCAGTTCTCACCAGTGTACCATGGGCTAATAAAGAGATTAAACAAATACTGAATGTGATATGTATATGTGATTTGTTACATGGAATAAATTACATGATTCATGTATTG